ACACGCATGCCACACACACACACAGCAGACTGTAGAGGGAGAGAGACCGGAAGTAAATCTTTCTCCTGAATTATTTTATGGGAAGAGAGTCTGTTAAGTAAAAAAGTACTCATTTCCTTATGTAATGTGTAAAAGAAAGTGAACTTTTTTTGCAGAATTCATTGTCTTCATGAGCAATTATATATAAAGATGGAACACTCCATAGGGTCCTATTCAATCATTATCCTATAAATGTCACTATAATTCACTATAAATTACTATCCATTGTAGGATTTCTATGTCATTACCTGTCTCATGAATTCACTGCTTTGTTAATGTAGTGCATAACCGGAGGGGAATTTGTCTCCTGATGCTATTTCTTTATCAATACGAATGATCATAAATCAATCGATCAAATCGTATTTGAACTGCGCTTTTTTCAAACTGACATGGCACAGAAGGTTTAAGAAAACCCTGGGACCTAATCCATCCCCAAACCAAGTGTAGGGCAACAGTGGAAAAGAGCAAAGACAACTTCGAAGCAAGGAAGAAAAACCTTTGATTTGGACCAGAAGATATTGCTAGTCCATGTCGTAGCACTATCTCATGATAAGACCAGTGTTACAAGTCTACAACAGAGAACGTACAGGGTGATACACAGTGTGACTCCTGAACTTATGAACTGAAACTCCTCTGCACCTAAACATGAACAAATGGTTCTCCTCCATGTGTCTCTTCAGTGCTAGAAGATAGGTGCAGTCAGGCCATGTTTTGACTGGTACGCTAGAGCCCCGTTGAAATCACACAGCTGATGATACACAGACTTACATACAGTTCACACTCATACACAAACACACACACACACACACACACACACACACACACACACATCACACACACACACACACACACACACACACACACACACACACACACACACACAGTTCACACACACTCACACACACACACACACACACACACAAACACACACACAGACTCACAGACTCACATTCAGTTCACACACACACACATCCCCCATTAATGTCTTCCTCTTCACCAAAGGGAAGCAGCAGGGTCTGATAATACAGAACTTGAAATAGTGGAGATGCATTAAAAAGCCATTCATGCAAATGCTTTACCTCTCCTGTGTATGTATAAACAACTTCTACAATGATGGATGATCTGCATAGACTTCATGGAGATCTAGGCATATCAATGTACAAATGTGTAAGGAAATACTTTATAAACTACAGTACATTACAGTTTTTGCCCATTGCTTACACACTAAAACCGAATGCTTAGACCAAAGCCTCAATACCTAAACTTCTTGTAGCATACCTTAAACACAGTGTAACCATAGCTTAAACACAATGTCAACTTTGCAATTCTGTAACACACTTATTGCGAAACACTACACACGTTTTCTTACATTAGACACTTTGTTCAAAAACGAAATCACCTGTTATCATTGGGAAAACACTCTGTTCAAAATGCAAAACTCATCTGGCAATTGTATGCACTTACATACACACCTGAAAACACTTGCACAGAAAACAGAACACCAATCAGTCTGAGCCTTAGCACTACAAATAGGCCTCAGGTAAGCCATTTTTAGAACTTTGCAAGCATGGAGGCAATGAGAGTCAGAGTAAGAGGAGGACAAAGAGAGAGAGGAGTCGGATGTGGAAGAGGACATGGAAGAGGACGAGGACCAGTGCGGAGACGTATATCAGATGACATCAGGGCTACTCTGGTGGACCATGTGATAAATCATGGCCTGTCCATGAGGGAGGCTGGGCAAAGAGTCCACCCTAACCTCAGTCGCTACACAGTAGCATCGATAATAAGGACATTCCGACTGGAGAACAGGTATATCTTCAAGTTTCTACTCCAGACTGTACCTACTGTATGTGTCACATGATTCTGTAATTATATTACAGAATTACTGTACTAACTATACTATACAAAAATGGGTAGTGCTGTGAAGTACTGTATATGTAAAGGAATACCATTGTGATGTTGCAGTACTGTGTACAGTTTGAAAGTACAGTATGTGAAAAATAACCTAACCAATGACATCATTTTCTACAGAATGGTTGGACAACCTCCTCAAGGTGAAAGGGAACGGCTCTTCACTCAACAACAAGAGCTTACCATCATTGAAATGGTGCGAGAAAATAATGCAATCCGACTTCGTGAGTTGCAACAACGCATAATTGCAAATGGAAAGGAATTCAACAATATCAACAGGGTCAGCATTTCTACACTAAGTCGCATCCTACAGAAACATAACTTCAGAATGAAGCAGCTGTACAGGGTGCCATTTGAGAGGAACAGTGTCAGGGTCAAGGATCTGCGCCATGATTATGTGCAGGTATGTGTCACTTTACTTTACATACTATATATTGTGATGTGGGAATGAGGGTTTATGCTGCCACCTGCCCTGCCTGTAGCTTGTAGTTTTTGTCTATACTCACCCAACCCAGCCCCTACTTCTGTGAAAATATAGACATTGTAGTTACTGTATGTGTTTTCAGTAACACTATTCAATATTTTCTGTTACAGAGAGTTCTGGAGTTTGATGCCGCCGAACTGCCGCATGAGTTCATCTACGTGGATGAGGCAGGCTTCAATCTGGCTAAAACCAGGCGTCGGGGCCGTAACGTAGTTGGACAAAGGGCTGTTGTAAATGTCCCTGGGCAGCGTGGGGGAAATATCACCTTGTGTGCTGCAATTAGTGTCCAAGGAGTCCTGCATCATCATGCCACTCTAGGTCCCTACAATACAGGACAGATCATTGCATTTCTAGATGCACTACATGCAGTTGTGCAGGACAGACCACAGCAGCCCAGGTTTGTTGTCATCTGGGATAATGTTAGTTTCCACCGGGCTGCTCTGGTCCGAGATTGGTTCAACAAACATAATCATTTCACAGTTTTATACCTGCCCCCTTACAGCCCCTTTCTAAATGCAGTCGATGGAATTCTTTTCAGCGTGGCGGTGGAAAGTATATGATCGGCAACCACATGCCCGCATGACTCTTCTGCAAGCAATGGAAGAGGCATGTGGAGACATTGAGGTGGGATCAATCCAAGGGTGGATTCGGCACACAAGGCGATATTTTCCCCGATGCCTAGCCCGCGAGGACATCGCCTGTGATGTTTGACGAGGTCTTGTGGCCAGATCCGAACAGAAGGCGTGATCCATAAGCCCCCCCGCCCCCCACCACACACACGCACACGCACACGCACACACACACGCACACGCACACACACAAAACAAGTATATGTTTTTTCCCCCAATAGCAATTTATCCAGTAATTGTTTTGTTTTTTTACTTTTGTTTTGTTGCTAAATTTGATGTTAAGAATTTCTGTAAGAATGTTTGTTTTTTTGTAAAAACTTTTTTGTAAATACTGTTTGATTACTGCAGAAATTCTACTTTTGAGTTTTACAGAAGACAATGACAATAAAATGACAATAAAAATAGAAACACAAAGACTGCAGTGTTTTATATAAAGCCCATCAGTGTGTTGCTGGTGATATGAAAGAGTAATTCAAATGTTGCTTGTGTGTGTATGGTTTTGTTGCAAGAATTTCATTTTTAGAAAGGAGTGTTAAGTTTTGATTGCAGTGTTTCATTTTGGCATATATGTGAGTTGTTAATCTCCAAGTGCTATGTCTGATTGGCTTGTGTGTTGAGTTTTGACATAATGAGCCAAATTCTGCAAAAAGTGTGTAAGCAATAGGCAAAAACTGTAAAAATGGATTCATGCAAATCTACTTTGTGGATCATTTATGATGAACAGACAGATTCTAGCAGATTCAGTTGGGATAATATGAAGATGTATGAAATATGAAACATATTAATGTACACATTAATATCTTTGAAGTCTCCAGTGAACATGGTGGAATTATCTGTCATGGCATCAGTTCTCTAAGGGTAAATATTTCTGAATAATCACTTAATATTCCTGATATTTCATCATATGAATGTCTCCTTAGTTGCAGTGTGTGTTGCTCAAGACAGATCTAGGGCAGGCATTTCTAGCTTGGGGGGTTTTACACACGCTCGCAGTCATTTTTTAATCTAATAAATCACAAACAGCTGTAGTTGCCATTGTAGCTGCATCCTTATCTCTCCTCTCTTCAACATTCTACATTAGAGTTGATCTGATCCACACAAGTTAGAAATGCAGACTGCATCTGGGGTTACGCTTTATTTTGATAGACTGCTGTTTACTTAGTATCTTACTGGACGTTCTAGCAGTAAATTGGTAATTCCATAACAATGACCGAACTATAACTACAGTATATAGTTTGTTTTGAAATAACCATCATTACATTTGGAACTACAACTGGTATTGTAAGTACCACAAAGTATTGTAACACACAATTTCTAATAAACACCAACGCACGCACACACACACACATACACACACACACACGCACGCACACATAAAAACACACACACACACTGGAATAAAATGACGCCATTAAACTTTAAATGCAGCTGTATCAATTTCATTTCTAATTTGCAGTGTTTACAAAAGAATACTGTATTCCCAGCCTACTGCCAGCCAGCCCCTAACTGTTCTCAGTTACCACCCTGGGAAGCCAAGGAAACTGGGACTCAGCAACAGTCTCACACACATAGTACGGTTCAGTCAGACCTTACATTCTGAAATGCCAGGACTCTCTGCTTCCTCTCTTCCTCCCTTCTCTACAAATTACATGAGTCATTCTGAGGGGTGATGCTTTACATCGCCGTGCTCTGGCAAGATTGAGTAACTAAACACAGTGTGTGTGTGTGTGTGTGTGTGTGTGTGTGTGTGTGTGCGTGCGTGCGTGCGTGCGTGCGTGCGTGCGTGCGTGGTGTGTGTGTGTGTGTGATCTCCTACCTGTTATTGTGATGTTGCTGTAGATGTTGGAGAGCTGCTCCTTGAGGAGGACGAGACGCATCTGAGCTGCCTTCTCTCTCTGCAGCTCCAGCATCATGTCTGGGTGGTTGGCCAGCTTACAGCCCCTCTGCTTGTCCAGGGCGATGTCACTACGCACTATGTCTGAGGGTGGACACAGAGACCAAGAATGGCTCATTCTAGTTTAAATGTGTTTATCATGCTAATGAAGCTTGTTTGAATTTCAATTGCTACAGAACAAGTATAGGCCTATGGTTAAACATGGCCATAGAAGATTTCAACTGTATCTAAAGTACATTTAAACATCTCAAAACATTTTATAATCAAATTGGGAAAACAACACAAGAAATAAAGATAAAAAAATTAGTCTTTAACATTTTTGTAAATGAATAATCAAATCCATAATGCCTAACTCACCATCTTCGTAGTTCTTTAGGTAGTAATCTGGGCCGGGGCCTCTGAACTTGGCAAGGTTCTTCAGGTTGTGGAACTGGAGGAAGTCGGTTCTCTTTCCTCCGAACCTCAGATAGGCCGGGGACAGTCCTCGGGCTAGGGTTACTAAACGCTTGGAACTACACAGGGAGACAGAGGACTGATAAGAATATGTTACACAAATACATCTGAAATGTTGTTGATTAAACAATATTTTACAGTTTGTAAGGCTCTGTATCAAAAAAACGTGCATGAAAAACTCAACATGATTACAATTTATTTAAGATTATGCATATACACCACCTATAAATACAACTCTGAGAAGAAATTACTTTTACTTTGGTGTTATTTTGAAAATAATTTCCGTAGTGGGTATATGATCATTGCAATATCCAGCGCTAGTGACATACTCAACAGAGGCTGAGAACTACTTTCACAAGACAAAAAATTAACGTAATAAAACAATGACCGTTTTATTCACATGCTTGCTAGCCCTGTGCATTCAGATTCAGCAAAAGGAAGCTAGACATGCAGCCAATTTCATGTATCACAGGACTGGTGTGAGTGGTATTTAGATGTCACAGGGCAACATTATATGATTGTGCCACTGTGCCCACAATAATACAATTATGTTCTACCCTATCTGGAAAGCCCCTATCCATGGGCTTTCCGGACTGGGCTTTCAAAACACTTTTTTACTATTCTACTCACTTATAGGTTTCTCTGAGAGTCAAGCTAGTGAACCCTACTCGTATTTACATGATGGTCTTATAAGTAGGACATGAAAGCTTTTCCATTATAACAGGACTTTTATGACCCTCTCACGGTGCCGCTGTTAACCAACTAGCAATAATATCTCTCTCAGCTCTGGGAAGTGTTTAGGATTACGTTCCACTCTACTGTTGTGTTACCAAACTGGACACGGAATAAGCAACAGAGATATTCTACTTTTCGACCAAAGCCACACTGTAATTTGTGCATATTATCAAGAGTGGACCACCAAAAAAACTGTGGAGCAAATAAATCCCATGCAAGACATTTCCACGTACAAATTGCACTTGTTTTCTGTAGTAGTCAAGGAATGGCATTCCATTAGCCTACTTTTTAAAAGAAGTTTTGAAGCTAGTCATTATTTGTTTACAAAATCTCCTTTGACCAAAAACATGGAGAAAAAGGAACGTTTTGTAGTAGGCCTATATACATTATTTATGTCACATTCTTCTAAATTACGGGAATATTTCCCATTAATTTAAATTACTGGAAATTGTACTGTATCTTTAATGCAGTGTTCAATAATATTTTATGGGATTAGCATTAAGGCCTACCTTATTGTGTTGTTTTTGTATGCGGAATATAGGCCGACGCATTCCATGTTGCGATTTTGGCCGAATTCATGCAGACTCGATAAAGTGCAATTTTGATGATAATTGTAGACTATTGCAGTAGTTAAATCACATAGCTTTGTATATGGAGAGGTATTCCCCTCCATACCTTTTTATGTCTCTAAAATCCAACGACCGACCAAAAAAACAGAATTTAGCCTATGGCTTCAGGGTGGTTGAGCGGTAAATTATCAGATCTTACGATCACCAAAGTTTCCACTAGGCCTGTTTATTCAAATATTGGTTGATATAAACGTCAAAACTAAATTTAAATAAATAAATATGCGAGAATATTTTTTCTTTTTTTATGTGCATTGAAATTGTCAGTGAATACAGACAGATAGGAAAACAGTGAAAAGTATGAACCAAAGTAAAGCAAAAACTTGCTAGAAGGCTATAATTGTTTAATCACATGAGGGTGTTATTGATATTATGAATATTATGATTGTTATGAATATTATTATTTTCATGATGAGGATCATTATCATTATTATTATAAAATTGATGCAGACAACATTTACTTGCTGAAGGTTGACATAATACAAATCAAACAGGCAATACACGGATATTGAATAGACAGCATCGACTGAAGTTATAGATCCATATGATTGAAAGCATTCTTCTGGGAATAACAATTTTCATCTAGTTAACCCAGAATTACATTTTTGCTAAAATCCTGACCCCAAAGTTTCCCACTGACTGGTAAAGGTTAAATCTGAGAACTTTGCGCAATAGCCAAAGCTGATTGGAAGCTGAAATGGTTTCCTTCCAGGGCACCACATTCTGTGGCTCCAATAATATCTGAGAAGCCAATTCCGACTGTTTTTCATGATTACAAACATGTCGATATAGAGTAAGATAATCTGATACTCTATTGCACTTCTAATGAATCATACTTAGATCTTACAGCTAGGTTAGAATGCCATGACCTCGTTCTCTCCTCCCAGACAATAACAGTGGACCTTTCTTTGGAAATAAGAAACCTCTGTTTACGGAAAGTCTTCAGGGAGCCTCATACGCACCATGTAGACCTACTACTACTACCAATATAAACCATTCCCCTCCATACCCAACGTGTGCGTTGCAGCAGTGAACTTCCTCTCTCTCTCTCTCTCTCTCTCGCTCTCTCTTTCTCTCTCTCTCTCTCTCTCTCTCTCTCCGCATAAACATTGTGTAGAACACAGAAACATTGATACGAATGAGAAAGTGGTATTATTCCACAACTATGTAGGCCTATTATTAACACCACTAGGTTAAAGATATGTTAATAAGTTACATACTGTGTACCCACTGGGCACAGACGTGAATTCAACCTCTATTCCACGTTGGTTCAACGTAATTTCATTTAAATGACGTGGAAACGACGTTGATTTAGCCAGTGTGTACCCAGTGGGTAGGCTGATGCACGCATGCCACAGGAGAATGATGTAAGGTGTCAAAAGGTGTCTAAACTGAAGTGGGAAAATAGGCTACTATATTATACAGACAAAATGGTAACGCCTCGATAACACCGACAGTGTCTTGCACAAAATGGTATGCAGCATCATCTGGAAATGTATGCAACAAAAGTTCAACATTCACCTTCTGCTACCATTTCTGTCAAGCCGTTTTCGCATACAGTTTGATACATACATTCGATAAATTCCACATATGCACCACACAGAACGCACTGCAACTGCCTCTGCAATACAATGCTGCAATGCAAACGCAGCGTTCAATTGGAAATGAATGAATTTCTGATGTACCTAAATGCAATGACACTGTCGGTGTGATCGATGCGTAAAGCTCGACAACGTTATTATGAAGTTAGGCCTGCTACAATTTCTACCCCACTGCATATTTCCATATACCCCATATCTAATGTCACCTAAACAAAGGCCCGATGCACAAATCAACCAACTATCTGAAATGGTTTAACGATTCCCTGATATCATAATATAGTAATATAATTTAATCCGATCATGCTCAACGGAGACCTCTAAACCAAAAACAATGCATTTGATCCAAACATGATACAGCAGACTGATTGGGAAGGGAATCTACCTCAGGAAGTCCAGCCACCCGTCCTTTATAATGGACGGATCTAACTGTAAAGAGAGGAAGTTGTCGTTTAGAACTTGAACTGGACTGCGGGTGTTGACATCCAGCAGAATCAGCGTCCTCTCCATTAACCCTGTTCTCTTCCCCCCGCCGCGCAGTGCAGGTCTCCGGTAGGTCGAAGAAGTGGAGATCACCGACTGCACCATCAGAGCAACGGATGCCAGCCACAGAGGGGAGCCTGAGAAGGGACATGTCGTCGGTTTGGGCATCTTCCTGGCTTGGTACCACGGATGGAATACTTCGCTTAAAACGAAGGCCGTGCTCTGCGATTTGAGGGAAAGTGAGAGAAGCTTTAGTTATACCTTATAGTCCGAATGCACTCTACTCTTCGTTTGAGTGAAGAGTTCTGCTCCTTTCTTTCTCTCAGTCTCCCCCTGCGTCCCCCCCCCCCCCCCCCCCCCCCCCCCCGCCCCTCCGTGTTTTTGGGAGCTGGAAAGGGGAGCGCAAGCCCTGGGCCAGCCTTCCCGCTAGAGAGGGCCAGGAGCCGGGGGGAGGAGAGGAGGCAGCACCGCCCCGCTCCAGGACTCAGCAGTGTTTTTTTCTGAGGTACTGTATGAGGGCTCAAACTTAACCCTGAGGTGTAGGAGAGAAAACAGAGATGACTTGTGAACTTAATGTTGATGTTTTGTGCCTGCCACAAAACATAAATGTTCATGTAAATCTGAATTCCAATTTGTCTGTTGCAATGATTGAATTGTGTATAAAACAATTGTTTAATGAAATCATAACATTTCATATGAATATAGGCCTATTTTAGATTTCAAAGTTATTGTTATGGTTTCCCCATGAGGGACTTGGGTTATACGCAGAACGTCAACAGAGGAAGAAGCTAAATGGAGAGACGTCAAATAACGGTGCTTTTCAAAACAAACTGGGAGAGGGACGCATTATTTAGCCTAGGGTGCAGGCCATAAGACCATTTCCTCGTTTTGCCAGTAAAAAGTAGGCCAATTCCTACTTGTAAATGCCAACACTATATGTTAATGTTTTGTCACTCTCTGATAAGTCACCAATGAAATTATTAAAAACAAGCGTTATGAAAACAGTGTATTCACAATTATTCTCTAGAAATGGCCTACTTAGGCGAAAAACTAGTCGATCATGGATCTCGGAAATAAGTGAGGATTTGTGTAGATTTTTTTTTCTAATTGATCACAGAAATTACAATTGCAGGGCCACGTAGAAGTCTGAACATTTTATATTTTCCAATTATCTGTGAATCACAAATATCTTATAAAATAAAGTTGGATGCCTAGGCCTAGTAAAACAAATACACGTCAAAGTAAATACATTAAATATAGACCTATTGATGTTCTTAAACTTTTGAACGGAACGGTTTTTATACACTATGATCGAAAAGGGCATTCCTTGGTGTACGGTCCTAGATCAGTCAGGCCTACAAGACAAGGCAAGTGACTTGTTAGGCTATGTGATAAAATGTGTTGTTGTGTTGGTTCTACGCACAAGTAGGCTGTGTAATGGCCAAATCTGTATTCAATTGTGTTTTATTAAAGTAGAACAGCTGCGATCACTAGGCTAATGTTTTCTCATAGTTTGATCTGTGCTAATATGTTTACAGTTTAACCCGTGACTTCATCGAGCTTTGCAGGCTTAACAATGATCAACCCTGAGCTTTTGAGAACACAATCAAACTCAGCCGTACTTGGTGCGCTTCCAAAAAAAATCTAAAAAAACTAATTTAGAACTCTACAGCCTACAGATTTAACATACCTATAAAAGCTTTACATAAAGTCTCTCTCCAGATGTTCTTGGATCACAGGGCTTACATACAGCTTGGTCACACTGGTGGTTTTCCAACAACTTTACGTCACCTCGGCCTGGCTCGTCTCAGCCTCATGACTCTGGTCGCCTGAGGTCACTGATTGTAGCCTACTTCCCTGTGGAGAAAGTGCAAGATGCACTGTGATTGGGAAGTATAACATATGTAAAAACCTTTGTGTAATCCCCCCTGTTATAGTCAAGAGGTTCTATTGTCTATTTGAACTAGTGACTGCTGCGACCAACTTCATGTTGAACGCAGCAACATTAAGACATTCAAACAACTCTTAGAAATCTCTATATAAATTATTGAAAGTGCGTGAGGCCTGGCTAAACTGTTTATGTTATTTAGCAGACGCTTTTATCCAAAGCAATTTACAGTCATGCGTGCATAAAATGTATGTATGGATGGCCCCGGGAATCGAACACACTATCCGGGCGATGAAAGCGTCATGCTCTACCAACTGAGCTACAGAGGACCATAGATATACAGAGGAAATGCGGAGAACCAAACATGGACACGACATGCATGACAAAGCCTTAAGCTGCTTGGACATTGGAAAGCAACGAGCCAGTTATTGCTATTCATCGATCATGAGAAAGCTTTATCAACTGTCCATAGATATGTGGCGTAAGATCAGACACGCACCCCATGGTAGTATAAGACAGAACACTGTCCATCTATTCCAAATATGCATCTTTAACAGCGCGGAGCAAACCTCTGGCTCCTTTTCATCCTCTCCAACCGTCTCTACCTCTATATATCAATCTCCCCATATCGCAGTGGTATCTTCGCTTGATCCATCACTTCACCAGGAGAAGAGATGAGTCTTTGATATGTCCCGCCGCGGCTGTAGCGGTCCTATGGCAACCGACCAAAATCCCTCTTCAAGTTACAGTCTTTTACTGCATGTCTATGGTAGATATACAGTAGACGTCATTTGGAGTCTTTTGATGTACGTTTTGAGATGTCGAAGACATATTGTGTAAAGTGTTTGGGATTGAGGGGTATACATAGCATGTGATTTTCAAAAAGATTCGATTTTTTCCATGTGAATTGTTATTAAAATGTTGAATAGAACACAAAGAGAAATATAGCAATTATTTAGTGCCCCACTCTTTGTACAATATGGAGACAAATAGCCTAAGGTGAATGCAATTAGTTCAAAAACATTGTTCTCATACTCAAATAGATGGGATAAAGCCACAGTCTGTAAGATTTCCAGAAATTCCAACTAAATGAAATATAATATAAATAGTACTTTACATTAGATAAGTAGCCTACTTCACTGTGTTATACCTCAAAAACACGAAGAACCAATAAGGCCCGCTATAAGCCTACTTCACTGTTTATGTTCTTGTCATATGAGACTTGAATAACATTATAGAAACAAGTTGTAGCCTATATGAAATATATTGGCTCAATTTTAACCCTCAAACCACATCAAACAATTGGAGTTCAATTATGTTAGTACAATATCACAATTGAAGAACATTAAAGTAGTGTTTATAGGATAGAAAAATCTTACAAGATTTTTGTGCTAAAAAAAAAATCGGTATGCGCTATCTTCAGACAGACGTGCATTTCTCGAGCTGTGCTTGACTTTATCGTGTTTCTAATCACCGCAAGGTAAAATTAGCCAAGTGTCAAATTCGTTTCGACTTAGAAAATAATGGAGGCCAGCCAACATTCTTTTGCTGCTTTTAACACATGTAGAACGTTTTCTCATGTCACCTTTTATAGTACTAACTATTTATGCCAGTGACATAAGCCATCAGAAGTGTGTGTAGCCTATCGTTGACTTTGAGTAATTACTTTCGGAAGGTTTTGACAAAATAATGACTAAATGTTAAATATTATGACTTTAGGAAAACTATAACTTTTAGACTCCATTCGTCAAAAAAAAAGAAAGTAGGCCCTGGCCTTGTATCAAAGCTGAGAAAATAAATAAAAACTGTAAACAACACCGCCATAGTACTATACCCTAATAATAACATACTAATAATTATGTAAATAATAATAACAACAACAACAATAGCACTAATAGCCAAATAATATTATATTATAAACGAATAACAGTCATTTACATGGGGGGAAAGTGCAACAGACAGTAGAACAACGAACACATCTCTTATCGTCGGGGTTAAGCGAAGCAAGAGGTTTATCTTCCCATTCATTTAGATGCGGTTGCATGGCTTTATATAAGGGGGTGATGGGTATAGCCTGTATGGCATAGCATTTAAAGATAGGCCTACATCTGGTTTAAATCCTACATATCTCTATCTCTAATCTAAATCCGTCCATATGTACATTAACACATGTATTAGCTTTTAACGTCTTCTCAGGCCCATAAGGATAATAATCTGATTTAAACTCGCTCTTTTTCAAAGGCCCCTGAACTGTAACCAAATAAAATAGAGGTTTATTGTAGCCTATTGGTAAAAACGTGGCCATTTGGAAAATGCAACAAATCGACAGAGACGAAAATGTAAAAGCCATTTCGTTAGTGAAGCAATAATAGCCTATATGAAAACGTATATTGTTGAAATGTATGTAGCTTTAAGAATTGAACAGAATTTAAGAGATCAATAAGACCTGTACATTTTTTTGGTTATATGGCTTATTATTTTCTTTTAAAGGATTGATATCTGACTTCGATTATGCTTCCAAAAGAAAATATATTTTGGCAAATAAAAGTGAATTTGGAGCATGGTAGCAGCGAGGGAGCGGGGGCGAGGGTGGATAGGCTATTTACTGACACGCCACAAGCAGGATTGTAGGCAAACTGTCTCAAACAGGCGAGAAAAGGGTCAAGGTTTAAAAGGCACGGTTGACGCTCGCGTTTAGGAATATTGACGACGTGTGAGGACCTGAAGAGGGGAAGCGTGCTTTTGTGTGAAAGTTACTGGTTTAGGAGACGAATAGCAGAGGCAGAGAGGTTGGCCTACAACTGGACGAAAGAGCAGCCACGGGCCCATTCACCAGGACACAACGTTTTGGAACAAGGATTAATTTTCCTTGTTCGTTTTGGAACAAGGAATATTGTCGTCTCTATGGTCTCTATTCATGGTTTTTGATATGCAACTTTCGACACTGTTTATCAAATTAACATAACCCAAGCCCCTGCGTGTTCTTATTTTTTATTTGTATTCATCCGAGTAGTAAACCAAATTAAAGGCGTGCTTTGCTAAATCTGTCTACATTTCTCGTTTTATGGCTTAGAGTAGCTTAACATGTAGGCTATACTAAAATCTGAAAACATATTTTAAATGGAATTTGGCACCATGCCTACAATTAAGAAAATGTCGTTTGTGTTTGTTCGTAGGCCTGAATGTGGTTGGTTCCTGAAAAGTCTAAATAATTTATAAATAATAATTGTTGTTATAAATAATTAGAAAATTATAAATAATGTGTTGACTCAGGCCCAAC